ACTGTTTTTGGCGTTTATTTTTTTATATGGGTTTTCTAGCCCTTAGTCATAGAATTCGATTTGTTCCGTGAAGCCAGTTTACATTGTCGTTTGGTCAGATACGGTTTTCGTTTTTTTAAGAATAACAGAAACAGGAATGTATACTACTACCAACGACAGTTAAGCCGTCGGGTTCGACGAGTACCACCGTGTGCTCCAGGGCAGAGTGTTTCAGGGATGGTGAATTGCACCGGATTATAGCGACAGTAGAAGTTAGCCACGTCTACCTTACACTATTTTCCACCCTAAGCTCCACTAGTCAAGATAGAATAAAGAAAGCGGGAGATGGAAGAGGGCGCGCGTCTGCGCGCTGTTGGTCGCCACAACTAGAAAACCACAACAAATTCACCGTATCGAAGGCCTTCATCAGGTCCACGACGTTTCTGCACAGGTGGATTCACATCTTCCGCCAATTCTTTTAAAGTTGGCATACGGTGAAAGTCACGTCAGTGGCGCTGCAAAGACGGCGAAATCGCACTGGCTTTCCAGTGGGATTCCTTGATCCAGGTAGCTTTTGAGGTAATTTAGGAAAACACGGGTCAAGAGTTTTCCAGAGTTGTGTAGCTGTAAGCTTCCTCTGCGATTGTCACAGAGTCGAAGATTGTAGCGTCCGCGAAATCATGAAAACTTGTACTTTGTGCCATATCCCCTGGGAGATCGTCGTGGGTTGGTTCGTGAGTTGGGGACCGCCGCTTTTGTACCTCTCAGCAGGGTTCATGTCTAATCCGAGTGCTTTCCCGCTAAAGAGTTTCCGACGCCCTGATGGTTTCTTGGAGAGTTGTTAGGAGATCGAGGTCCGAGCTGACCTCCCGCTGGAGCAATCGTTCGATGGCGGCATCAGAGAGGGTGAACTGCTGAATGAAGTCGTTTGGAAGTACTCAGCAAAGCGTTTCGGAAGGTGAGTCCTCTCAATGAATAGACAGCTTTAAGCGCAGCGACGAGGTTATTCCGTTTGTTGCAGTCCGTGCAATCTTAGATATCCTTGACTTTGCAAGCGGTCCACTAGTCCTGCATTTCCGCAGCCGCTGTAGCACAAGACGGGAAATTCGGTAGAAAGCTGATTTTCCTGCTGCCGTTGGGTGGTC